CATGCGAAAGTAATTACGTTACACTGCAATAAATTTGATGTTTTTTGAATGATTTGATCCAATTTCAAAGTACTTCGATTATTTTTTGTGGATATAGTTATGTAACTTATTTATTACTCATATTTGACGTTTCATATAATTCTTAAAAACGAGTTCATTAACTATGTCCTGAAAAATAACCAATATGCTTCAAAATTAGATCTAATAATTCAAAAAACATCTAAGAATTGTCTAACTAATCATTTATGAAAAAAATCTTTGTTATATTTCCAAAACTAATAAAAACTTGGTTTTGCTGGGAAAGTACCAATTCAAACTTCATATTTGCGTGGTACATAAATTGTTACATTTACTTGTAGTTGATATCAAATTCATATTCTAATTAATAAAAAAATGTACGTATTGAATAATAATTTTATATCATTTCACAAAGCTTTTTTTTGCTAATAGCCTTGTATCTTGTATTGCATTTATTTTGCTTACAAAATACTTTTTACATTAACTGTTACACTTAATTTGAGATGAACTTTCCGCAAATTTTGTTTTCTATTGTGATAAATGTATTTATTTATTTAATTTTTACTAATATTTTAGAATTCTATCTGTCATAAATATTATGACATGTTTTAAACTAATTCATGACTAATTCCAAACTAATTCCATTTTTTGTTTTTTTAGTTTAAAAAATTTTTCATGATTATTGACATTTTAAAAATAAAATTATATGTATAATTGCTTTCATACAAATTAAATTTTATTATAATTTTGCATATATGTATAAAGTTTCAAATAACCGCAAGAATACTAAATTATTGCTAGAAGTAAACAAAATAAAAATTGCACAAAACTCATTTAATTTTCTTACGACATTGATATACATAGTATTAAATTTAATAGACGAATTTGAAGAAGAATTAATACAAATGTCTGGAAAATGTATGGACATCGGTTGTGGTCCCGGAGATATAACGAAAAATGTTCTCTTGCCGGCTTTAAATCCAAATGCGGTAATAATAGGTAAAACAATAATAGAATAACGCCTGTAACAACATACATTTATTTGAATTATTATTTAATTCAATAATTGCATATTTTGAAGGTACCGATATTTCGAAGGATATGATCGAGTTTGCGAAGAAAACATACGGTAACGGAAGACTCAAATTCGAAGTATTAGATATCCAAACTAAATGTTTACCTGAAAAATATATTTCTAGATTTGATCATATACTCTCATTTAACGCTTTAAATTGGTGTTATGACATTCGGTAAGTTAAAATTATTAATAATCAGGTGGAAAACTGACAGAAAAGAGCCAAGGTATCGGCTGGTATTGGAGTGCGAATTTATTATTATTAAATCTTATTAACTAATGTGCATTAAAAATGTACGTTTCGGACCGTTTAAAAAAGAAAATTTAAGTAAATATAAACTAGGCTTGCCCAACCTATCAATCGCGATCGACCGGTCGATCGCAGCGTGATTTCTACCCAGTTATTGTACAAATATATAATATAATATAAGTTGATGTGACATTGAACTAACGTCGAAAACCAAATGTTGAAGTGAAGTTGAAATTCTGTTTGAATCAATATCGAAATGATACAAATTTTTGACGATTCTTCGGCTATCATTTTGATATAATTTCAACATTGAATCAACCACAATTAATTATATCTTAATACTTCGCAAATTAAAGTTGCAAAGTATTGCAACTTTATACAGAGTGTCTCTGAACTCATTGTCAGTGCCAAAACTGGTACAACGGCTTTAGCACATGAAAACAAGTCGACAATGTTTAATAAACATATGTTCGCGAAACTTCAAACATTTTTCAAAAAGCTTGAAACAATTTATTAATTCATGCTAGAAAGTATGTCGAAGTCGACAGAGGAATTTTTGAGCACCTTTTGTAAAGCTTTAAACAGAATAAGGCTGATGGCAGAGAATGAGATGTTTAAGCGTTTACGGCTGTCGTAGTCGTAAAAGTAAGACAGAGAAAAACGTAAGTTGTCATCATGAAGGAAGAGTAAGGAGAGTTATCTCGATAGTGTAGAGAGGAAAAAAGTTGATCACGAAATATGTTCTGTATGTGGCCAGGTTTGCCAAATGGAATAACTTGGACCATTTCGT